ACAAGATGTTACAAGAGAAGAAGTACAATTAGTTAAACAACGTATCTCTCATTATAATAATTCTCCGAGATCAAAACTACAAATTTCACATCCAAGATTTATTACTACAATTAGTAATCAAGATTTTCAACAACAATTAAATAATCAATTAACAAATGCAGCTGAACAAGCCAAAAACGACATGTTAAATCTTTATGTTAAAACAGCCGAAACTCAAATGGAACATTATGGGAAGCAATACTATGACAAAGAATTAGACAAAATATTTGTAGAAAGAAAATCGTTACCCATTGATCAACAATTAACTACTATTATGGTTAACCTACTTGAACAACGTGCTGATAATAGAAAAGAACGTATTAAATATGTGAATCAATTTAAAATTCATTGTCTTCATTCGAACTCTAATCATTAATAGTTATTCAGCTTTTCTTCTGCACTTAAATAAAAAAACAATAACTTACTGGTAATCTAATTGTATATTAAATAAATTTCTTTTTGTTTCAGAAATAAAATGAATACTGACAATACGACAAATACAACAACTAATATACAACTTGCACAAGGACAACAACTTAGACGAAAGAAAAAATGCTATGGTAATCGGAGCGATCAACGTTTTCGAATGCGTTGTCGTTATAAAAAAATGAGCGAAGAACAGATAGAACAGTTGGTTAACCAACGAAGAAATGCTCGTAAAACAAACCTAACAGATCAAGTGGCACAGAGCACTATTGTTAATAGACAACAGATGAATACAACAGTGTCAAATATATCTATGAGAGTAAGTAAATCTGTTTTACATGAGAGATTCATTTTTTTGTTATTTTTTTTTCTTCTTCTTGTTAATAGCATGAAGTACCACTAAATGAAAATAGAACAACAGTATCAAGTGCAAATATAAAATCAAAGAAACGTAAAAGAGATACTATACCAAAAGAGAAAACATATAATGTTCCTAAATCAACGAGTACATTATCAGTTCTCCAACCGTCAACAAAGAAGATGAAAAAGAAAAACAAGAAAAGACGACGACGACGACAACAAAGAACAAGAAAAATGAAGAAAATTATTAAAAATAAGAATTATCAGTATATTTTCTCATCTTTTTGTTTCTGAAATTACGTCATGACTATATCTTTATTTTTTCTTTCTTTTGTATAGACCATCAGGTTATTTAAGGGCATCCTCTCAAGCGTTAATGAACACTTTAAGAAAACATCTAAATCATCCACTTAAAAAAAGAAGTGAACAAAAATTCGTCTGTTCACGATTACATCTGTTCGATGAAGAATTTGCTTTAGATCTTAATCGATATTTATGGCAATCATATTTGGAAATTGGATCACAACAACAACAGCCACAAATCTGGCCAGTAAGTGAATAAAATGAATTCATCCAATATATATATATATATACATACTTCTTTGATTTTTATCTTTAGAATAAAGTTTATAGAGCAGCCAAAACCAATGAATCTAATTTATGTCAACAATATATCGTAGATTCTTTGAATCAAACAAAAATTCATCTTGATCTATGCTATGCTAAATTAAATACGCAAGCTCAGTCATGGATATCAACACTTCCTTCGCTGGACATACTCGATGATAATCTTAAGAAATTTGTTCGCCAACAAAAAAAACATTCATCAACAAGAATAAATAAGCAATTAAAACAATATAAAGATGTTCTAGAAGAAAACAAATCATTTCAACATATATCACTCTATCTAACACCAAACGATCGAGTATGTATATAAATCTGTTAATTTTCTTTCATTTTGATCAACTTTTTTTATCTATCTGAATAAGATACTTGTGGATGAATTAATTAACTTGCAACAGCTACAGATGCAACTTATGGAAGAATTTGTTATGTTAGAACAACGAATTATTTGTAAATTATTACCTCAAAACTTCGATTCTATAGACAATTTAATTAAACCTCGTCTTTATACACCTTTACTTCAGGATGTGACATCTATTGAGTTCAAAATTCAACATTACAAGATTATACAACAAATAAAACGTACATGGTTAAATATTTACTTTAATGCTTATGAAAAGAAGATTCAAGAATATGAAGAACAATACATAGAAAAACTACATAATCTTCAACTACGATTTGAATGTAAAAATAATGTCAATCGAATATTTCATCTCAATTCAATCAAAACTTATCTACATAATCGAAAACAACGAACGATTCAACAGATCTATATCGATATGTCAGATTATCGAAAAAAA